ACTAGGAAGAATGTATGCAATGTGTTAATTATTGAAACTGTCCTACCGATTTGGTTTGAAACTGTCTCATTGCTATTTGTTTCTCAATAAAATTATGAAAAAAAAGTTATAGTCTTCTATGTGTGCTTTAATTTCACTTTTAATATTTTTTATTGTTTTACACAAAAACCAGTGAATATAACTCCTCGCCATTTAGCAGTCAACCCCAACAGAGTCCTGAATGACAGGATGTCCCTGGGATGCACAGTGTTAGATTTAGGGATTACTTTATGCTGGCACAGGGCACCAAGGAGGAAACGATGCCCGTTGAATTGGGGGTGGTGGTGCAGGCCTGGGTTGGGCTTGTTGCAAACAGTAAGAAAGGCTCAGAGACTGCCTGAGACAAAGCCAAAGAACCAAAGTGTTTTGCCAACACATTTGATAGCTTTGTTAGCTACAGAATATTGGTGAAGGCTTCAGTGACAGGCACTGCTTTTGTTCTGTTTTGTTTTGTTTAGCAGGAAAGCATATACACACACATCTGAATATACTTACTTATATACACATGTATATCATTTCAAGTATTGATGCCTAGCATTTCATAGCTGTATTTGCAAATGTGCTTCAAATATTATAAGGTCAAAATCGTCACAGGGCTGGAGAGATAGCTCATCAGACTAAGCACCTGCTTAGACAAGTGCAGAGACCAGCATTTGATCCCCGTCACCATGTGCTGCACCAGCCCAACCCCCAGGGCAGGCTGAGACAGCCACAGAGTTGGGGCATAGTGGCACATGCCTGTAATCCCAGCACTGGGGAGGCTGAAAGCAGGAGGATCACAAGTCCGAGCTGTGTGGTGTGACTCTGTAACAACCAAACATATTGGGGGAAAAAAATCACAATAGGAAAACCATGAGCTTAGGCAGTTTGAAGCGTGACATCAGGGTAGAGATCATTTCTGATGTTTAGATAAAAACAATGGGGTGTCAAGCAGGTGCAGTAAGAGAATTTTCTACAGCAAATCAGAACAGTGTAAGGAAGTGAGAATAGCAACAGTGTGGGGAAAATGTGCAGCACGGGCACAACCAGTGACCCAGCCATCACCAATGGGAAGAGGACCACGGGCAGCTCTTTCTAGACCAGCGAGTCCTTTCTACAGCTGACAATGAGGTGGCTGCGTGGCCAATGGCAAATTCACTCAGAGTTGGAGCTGCAGAAAGAAAGGAGGTGGGGCTAAGGCAAGGACACACGGGAAGGCTCCAGATGTAGAGCTCTCTAGGCCTCAAGGCACGTCCTCGCTTCCTTGGGCTTCCGTAGCAACATCTGCGAACCTTAGGAGCAGGATCCTCTAGGGTCTCCACTGGTTACATTCTCTCACTTGACCACTCAGCTGAGAGTGGGGGTGGGCAGCTTGTGTGGCGCTGGGGCACTGTATTCTTTCCATGTGCTTTCATTTTTATTAGTACATGTTTGCAATACACACTGATTGCATCCACTGAGGGAAGTTGGTACACGGACCTAGCACATCGTAAATCTCTTTTCTCTCTTTCCCTCCCCAACCTTTCCTCCATCTCATGGTCCTCTTCTCATTTGCAAAAGATGTGTTTCTCTGTTTCCTCTTAGATGAATAGTTTCTATGATTTCTCTTTTACTTAGCTCTTTAATTAATAGATTGCTTTTCTCGTAGAACAGAAACACTGTAATATTTAAGCTTGTCTGTCTGATTCATTTCATGAGACATTATGATCCCACCGTGCATCAAATAAGACTTCTTGTGGGGGCGGGGTCCTGCCAGTTAGCTCAGTTGTTTAAGCGCCTGCTCATGCAAACGCAGTCAGGCGCAGGGTACCATGGTTTTGATCCCCAGAGCCACCTGCCTTATCAGACCCACCCTTAAGGCAGCCTGAGCCAGCCAAAAAAAAAAAAAAGACTTCTTGAAGGATGTCTTACAAATTAATTTTTACTCTACCCACTTCATTTTTGAAAGAGAACATGAGGAGCCAAGTTATTATTATTATTATTAGCATTATTAGCATTATTAACATTATTATTATTGTGGGATTTTGTTGTGATTGACAGTGCTGCTGTTGAACCCAGAGCCTAACAAATGTTGGGCAAGTGCGCAACCACTGAGCTACATCCCCAGCCTCTATTATAATTATTCGTGCATCTTGACTATGCAGATTAATGGGCTACACTGTGCTGTTTGCCTATATTCACATGTCGTACTCAGGCATCATATTTTTCTGATACAGGCAGCCACTTCAAGGTATGTTAGTGACCAAGGACATCAGTAAGTCCCCAAATAAGCAATGAAACCTGAAAATAAGGCAGAGTCTGGAGGGGAATACGCACAGGTCATCGGACACACTGGCAGAGAACTGTTTCTGAAGATATTCTGCAGGTGGGGCTCCTGGAAACTTGGAACATGTTCGACTCTCAGGGGGACCCAGTCTCAAATGTTCACTTCATGCCCAGCCCTGTACAGGGTGGACGAGGAGTCGGGAAGAGTCCTTAGGTGGCCACAGTGGCGGGAGCTGCCAGGTTCCTCAAGGAAACTGGATTGTCATGAGGCGGCTGGCAGAGAGGCGGCCACGTTGGCCACGTGCTGGCCCGTGGACAAGTCTCTGCGTACCGCTGCTGATGTTGCTGACCTGTTTAGTGCTCATCACATTTCAATGGGGAATAGCTACTAATCTTTGAGGGAAAAAGAAACTGAAGCTTGGAGACATTAGGCATCTTGTTCAAAATCACAGAGTGGCACCAAAATAGACATCCAGAAATATTTGATCCCAACATTTATACCTTTTTCAACAAACCAAGAAAATCCTTTGAGGAAGTCTTGACTTTATTCATTCTTATCCAGTACATCTATTCTTGAAAAAATAATAAATCTCCAGCAACATACTCCTTTATAACAATGAAATCAGAAAATACATCTAACCGAATGATAGTGAAGAAAGACATAATACAACCTAAGAACTGCAACTAAAGCTGGGCTCAGAGGAAAATGTATGGTCCTAAAAGGTATGCAAAAGAAAAAAAGGTGGGTGAAATAGCTCAAGGGCCCAGCAAAATAGCTCAGTGGGTTAAGTGCTTGCTTAGGTAAGCTCAGAGGTCAGGGTTTGATCTCCAGCACCGCATGCCACACCAGCCCCGCCCTCCCATGTGCTGAGCCGGCACTGGAGTCTGGGCATGGTGGTGCACCCCTGTAATCCCAACACTAGGAGGCACACATCAGCAGGATCACTACGAGTCTGAGCTGTGTGGTGAGACCCTGAACAAAAAAAAAGAAAAGAGGCTCAAAAACCAGTGACCTGAGCTTCTGTCTCAAGAAACTGAATAAAGATATTCAAAGAAAGTAAAAGACATTTTTATAATTCTAAAAAATAAAGCTCCGTGGTATAGTCACAGGAGATAGTGGCTTAATCCCTAGGACTGGCCCCCAAATTTATCAATATATAAGCAAAAGCAAAACATAAAACTATTTTAAATAACTTAATATAAAATTTTCATTCTAACTTTACACAATTTGTGTTGAATATTAATTAGTAGAACCCATGAAAGGCTACGCTGACAGCATAAGTTATCTTCATATTTCTAAGGTCAAAGTCTCCATCTCTGGAGCAGACCTCCTGGCTGAGAATGCTCCCCCAGATCACAGCTCTTCACTGGGGCGTTGTTGAGTCCTTCACACCACAAGGTGCCCAAGATCTAACACAACTGTGGCTCAGATGTTAGATGCACAAGACGAGTGTTCAGGGTGCTTCACACATTGAACAAGCCTGGCAGGCCTAGGAGAGGAGAACAGGAAGAAGAGATCAAGAAGGGAAATGACACAGTTAAGGTGCTGCTCCCCAACGAGAGAAGCCCATTCCTTAGCATTGGAAGCACAGAGGAACCAATGAGAGTCCACGCACACTCCCCTCCACACTGTGCCTGGCGAACATAACCCCCAGTGTGCTTGGCTGACTGGTCAGGGGCCAATACAACCCACTGGTTGTATAGTAGCTAGTTCGTCAACTGATGAATGGGTAAGAGAAGGTGGCACTTACAGTAGAGTACTATTCTGCCATTGAGGGTGTCTTCTCACTCTGTCAGTGGTGGTGCAGAAGCTTTGCAATTTGATCCGATACCATCTTGGTATTATTTCTTGTGCCCTTAGGATTCTGTTCAGGAAGACTTTGGCCAGATCTATGTTTTTAAGTGTTTTACCTAGTTTATCTCCCAGCACATTGTTTCTTTAACATTTAAATCTTTGATTCATTTAGATTTTAGTTATCTAGAATACATAAAGAACTCAAGAGGGCCAGCCAAATAGCTCAGTGGATTAAAGTACCTGCAAGCAGGCTCAGGGGCCGGGGGTTCAATCCCAGGCCTGCCGTGCTGGCCCTGCCCCTGGGGTGCACTGAGATGGCAATTGAGATTGGGCATTGTGGCATGCACCTGTAATCCCAGCACTTGGGAGGTTGTAAACAGGAGGACCACTACAAGTCCAATCTAGTAGTGAGACCCTAGACACCCTGTAGACCCTTCCCTAAAGAAAAAAAAAAAAAAAAAAAAAAAAAACTCAAGAAAAAAGTAATCTGATCTCCCCCCAAATAAAAGACTTAACCAAAAATTAAACAAATGAAATGAATAGATACCTCTCAGGAAAAGTACAAATGTTCAGTAAACACATGAAAAAAATGTTCAACACTACTGACACTTAGAGAAATGCATATGAAAACTATATTGAGGGGGCCGGGGAGATAGCTCAGTGGAATAAGCGCTTGCCTGGCAAGCGCAAGGGCCTGAGTTCAATCCCCGGTTCCGCAAAAAAAAAAAAAAAGTTAATAGCAGATAGGCTGATATAGAAGCAATGTTATAAGATATGAACAGGTCAGAAAAATCATAAAACTATATTGAGATACCATCTTTCCCCAGGAAGGATGGCTATCGTCAAAATATCAAATGATAACAAATGTTAGCAAGGATGTTGGGGGAAAAGAGGTCTTGTACACTGTGGGCGGGACTGTAAACTAGTATAACCACTATGGAAATCAGTGTGGAGAATCCTCAAAAAATTAATAATGATGAGTCTATTTCACACAGTCATTCCTCTTCTAGGAATCTTGACCAAAAGTCATCACATTACATGAATAACCAAGTTTACGGCAGCACCAGTTTATAGTAGCTAGTTCGTCAACTGATGAATGGGTAAGAGAAGGTGGCACTTACAGTAGAGTACTATTCTGCCATGAAGATAAACTTGAGGCATTTGTATGCAAATGGTGTGACTGGAGAACATAATATTAAGTAAAACAGATCAGACACAACAGCTTAAATATTGCCCTGCTTCTCTTACATAAGAAACTATCTATATGTTGAGGCTGTCAAAAAATGTGCAACACCTCAGCAGGACACACAATTAATGTCTTTAAGCTCATGGTCACCAGTCTTGTAATTGTAGAGGCCAAGGCCACTGACTTGCATTCATTTCATGATGTCTGAATAAATTTAATATTAAAATATTTATACAAGTTTTTCTTTCCCTGACACACACATTTCTTGGCAAACTTTAACTTACCCATACTGTTGTTTTAAAAATATTTTTAATGCTAATTTTATTTCTTTTATACTACTAGTTTCTTTGTTTATTGAAAAGAAATATTCGTCTTTTTATTTGTTTCTTCTTTTTAAGAGAGCATCTTTGTTTTGCCTGACTTACACTCTGAGAAACATTCTTGTTACTCTTTTCAGATCATGATACATAGTATGTATATTAACCATTGTTATTCTCCAATTATTTTGTTAAAAAATTTTATTTTGCTTTTTATACTTTTAATTAGATGTACTAAAAACAAAAAGAAAGTGTGGTCCAATTTAGTTTGGTACCATTTGCAAAGCCTTAACAATAGGCACCAAGAAGGGGTGTTGGCTGGTGGTAGGTGGAGGTGAGAGGGGGTGTCTGGCTCCAGGGTGTGGCAGACTGGTGTCTGCCATGTGAGCTGATGGTTGGGAGCCAGCAGAAGCAGCTGCTGGGACCTAGGACGGCCTCGGTCTCCAGTGGAGATTTCCTTTCCCTCTTCAGAAACCTCCAGAGGGATTGTTGTCAAAGGGCAAGACACCTCACAGAAGGGATGGACCCTGTGGCTGGAGCTCGGAAGTCAGTGGCAGAGGCCCATGTGGTTCAGGGATTATTATTTATTTGGTTTGGTTTTGTGGTATGAAAGGTTGAGCCCAAGGACTTTGCATTGAGCTACATCCTGTGCCTATTTTTCTCCCTCCCCTCCCCTCTCCTCTCTTCTACTCTACTCTTCTCTCTCCTCTCCTCTCCTCTCCTCTCCTCTCCTCTCCTCT